GTTTTTTTCTTTTTTGCTTATGTGGTGCTGAGGAATCGAACCCAGGGCCTCATGCATGCAAGGCAAGCGCTCTACCACTGAGCCACCTTCCCAGCCCATAATTTTTTTTTTAATTATCAAGTGCCTACTCTGTGCCTTTATCTGTTCATTGAAACCATTTGACCACAACTCCACCTTCCCCTCCCCTTTCCCCTTCCCCTTCCCCTTGAAACCATTTGACCACAACTCCACTCCTTCCCTTCCCCTTCCCTTTCCCCTTGCTCCTTCCCCTTCCCCTCCCCTTCCTCTTACCCTCCCCTTCCCTTTCCCTCCCCTCCCCTTCCTTTCCTCTACCCTTTCCCTTTCCCTTCCCCTCCCCTCCTCTTCCTTCCCCCTCCCTTCCCTTCCCCTGCCTACCCACCCCCTTCCTCTACTCCCTTTCCCTTCCCTTCCCTTCCCTTCCCTTCCCTTCCCTTCCCTTCCCTTCCCTTCCCTTCCCTTCCCTTCCCTTCCCTTCCCTCCCCTCCCCTCCCCTCCCCTCCCCTCCCCTCCCCTCCCCTCTCCTCCCCTCCCTTTTCTTTCCCCTTTCCCTTTCCCTTCCCCTCCCTTCCCCTCCCCTGCCCTCCCCTCCCTTCCCTTCCCTTCTCCCTTCCCTTCCCCTGCCCTCCCCTTCCCTTCCCTTCCCTTCCCTTCCCTTCCCTTCCCTCCACTCCCCTCCCCTCTCCTCCTCCCCTCCCCTCCCCTCTCCTCCCCTCCCCTCCCTTTTCTTTCCCCTTTCCCTTTCCCTTCCCCTCCCCTGCCCTCCCCTCCCTTACCTTCCCTTCTCCCTTCCCTTCCCCTGCCCTCCCCTCCCCTTCCTTTCCCTTCCCTGCCCTTCCCTTCCCTTCCCTTCCCTTCCCTCCCCTCCTTTCCCTTTCCTTTTCCCTCCCCTCCCCTCCCCTTCCTTCCCTTCCCTTTTCCCTCCCTCCCTCCCTCCCTCCCTCCCTCCCTCCCTCCCTTCCTTCCTTCCTTCCTTCCTTCCTTTTGTATTTTGCATTCTATTCTGAGATAATGTAGATTCTCATATGTTAGAATTGATGTAGAGATCTCATATTCTCTCACACACTCTCTTCCATTGATAACTTCTTGTTCAGTTATAACAGGGTAGGCTGTCACAGCTAGGAAATTGTAGTTGATACAGTTTGATGTGGTTTGAGTGTATTGTCCAAAGTTCTCATGGGGGAAGCTTAATCTCCAATATAGCAGTGTTGGAGAGGTAGGCCTCCTAAGAAGTGGTTGGGTCACAAGGGCCCTGCGGGAGTAGATTTGCCACAAAAGCCAATTCAGTCCCTTGTCACTCATTTGCTCTTAGGCCTTCTTGCCTTGCCTTCATGAACTGACATGGTACAAATGCCCTTGCCAGATGTACTTACTATGTAACCCAGCCTGACCTTGAGCTTACCCTTCTCCTACCTCAGCCTCCCTAATGCTAGGATTACAGATGTGTATTACCATATGTCAGCTTCTTGTCCTGGTATAGCAGACTCTACCAGTTGAGCCAGTCAGCCAGCCCCCAATCCACCATTTGTATTGTTATTAGTATTTTTGACAGTAGGCAGGTGCTCCACCATTGAGCCACACCTTGAACCCATCTTGTTTGGACTTCCTACCTTCCAGAAAGGAACAGTAAACTTCTATTGTTTATGGTCTGCCATATTAGCAGTACAAAACAGACTGACATACCACTGACTAGAGTTCACCAGTTTTTGTTTTGTATGTATGTATGTATGTATGTATGTACATGTGTGTGTGTACTTAGATAACCTACATGTAAGTTATCATTTTATTTTACTTTTATCTTTAAATAGTTGTATAGAGGAGTTGCCATTCCATAAAGTAGTATATGAATACAATGAATCTTGAGCAGGTAATTTTTATTTTTTTTGGTTGTGAGGCTTGGGAACTCTGGGCCTGGCCACTCTCTTTGAGCTTTTCAGCTCAAGGTGAGCGTTCTACCACTTGAGCCACAGCACCACTTCCGGTTTTCTGGTAGTTAATTGGAGATGAGTCCCATGGACTTTCCTGCCCAGGCTGGCTTTTAACTGCAATCCTCAGATCTTGGCCTCCTGAGTGGCTAGGATTACAGGCATAAGCAATCTGTGCCTGGCCAGGTTATCATTTTTATTTATGTATTTTTGCAGAGCTGAGGGCCGAACTCAGGGACTTGCACTTGCCAGGCAAATGCCTTTTCCCTTAGCTAAATTCCTAGTACCATCATTTATTTCGTAAAGAGATAGAAACAAAGCTCAAATAAGTTATGTGAAATGCTGTAAGTATAAGATAGGGGTTGCACTAGTCTGTTTTGCCTTTTCAATAATAGTAACTAATAATAATATAATTAACAATTAAAAAAATCTTACTGAATGACATATAACTCATTGAGTACTTTTCATGTAATGGGGACTGTTCTAATGATGACTATTTAATCCTCCAATGATGATACCATGTATGGCACATCACAGCTGAGTTAGTGTCTTTAAACTCTTATATCACCAAAGAATAGGTTATATATATGTACATATAAATAATTTTTTTCCATTTTTATTGTTACTATTAAGTAGCTGTACAAAGGGATTACAATTCCATAACTCAGGTTATGAGTCAATGTCACCTTTTCCTTTGTTCTTCCCCAATTCCCCCTCTTTTTTTAATACATTTTTTTTATTGTGAAAATACTGTACAGAGGGGTTACAATTATATAGGCGAGATAATGAGTACATTTCTTATCAAGCATTGTAGCCTCCTCCTTTGTTTACCCTTCCCATCCCTTCCCATTCTCCCGCCCCACCTGATCCTCTCCCGCTCCCCCCCCCCCCCCCCCCCCCGCACCAAAAATTGTAAAGTTCGTTTTCGACATAACTACTTGTACATCTCATTGTTGCAATGGGTCCACCTGTATCCCTATCCCCTTCCCCTCCACAAATTATACCGACATTAAATGCAGTGAAAACAGGGGTTATACGGACATTAAATACAGTGAAAGCAGGGGTTATACTGTGGGGGAGGGACATATGAAGCAAGAAAGAAATAATCTTATAAATAGAAACAATCACAAGAAAGAATAAAAAAAATTTGAGTACATATCTTAGGGTTCATTTCCCTAACATCACCTTATCTGACCTTTTCTGCTTGACTCAGACATATACTAGATATTGCAAATAAGGGAAACCATGGGACCTATGTTTCTTTGCAATTCCCCCTCTTGTACTTACCTTCAAATGACATATTTTTTACACAATGCACTTTGAATACAATGACTTCATTTGCTTACCTGTTAATATGTTTTTTAAAACTTTTGAAACCAATAGTAAAATAATGAGATTTTGCTCTCATTCTTCAAATTTTAAATTTTTTTCCTTTTTGATGGAACTGGGATTTGAACTTAGAACCTTGTAGATGATAGGTGTGGCAGGCATCTTACTCCTTGGGTCACACTCCTAGTCCTAATTTTACATTTTGAATCTCTGACTTGAACACCGATCTTGGTAGTTGTTGAATACTTTTATATGTGTGTGTGTGTGCAGAGAGACTTAGAGAGATGTATATTATTATAGACTGAATTAAGCTGAAATGCTTTAAAATAGCTTTATTAAATTGTTAATAAGAGCTGGTTTAGGCAGAAAGCCGTGTTTTTAAGGAAATAAATATAAAATACCAAGAATACTTAGTGTAATTTGGGAACCTTTTTATTTTCCATAGAACGTTATCACTTTGTATTGATTTGATTGTTTCTTTGTTTTTGATTTTGTTTTTCTGGCTAAATACAACTCCAGGAATGTATGAGTTCACTCCAGTCTTCTGAGTTGCATGTGTACCTTTGAAAATAATCTCTAATGCACTTGACTGTGAATTATCACTGATTAGCAGAATGTGGTCACACTTTAGGACAATCCACTCATCAGTAGCTGTCTATCACTTGCTATTCTTTGCTAGCTAAATATCTTGTAAAGCTGTCCCTGTGATGAACAACAGTTCTTATTCAGACCAGAAATAACAACAGTCCCATGTGTTGGAGGTCCCAGGAGGTTTTGGTGTTTTTGTAGACAGCAGACAGAAATAAAAGGAATTTTGTCCTTTTTACCTCGTGTAATCCCACTGGAAAATAAAACATGTGCTATGAATTGATACTGACTCCTGCCAGGTCACCTCCCAAAAGAGTCTCGGTCGAAAGTTGTTGCAACATTTCTTGGACAGGAGTCTGACGGCCTGTGATGGAGATGGATGGCTTCTGTAGCCCGCTACTGTGGAACACTGTGCTACTGTCTGCTTCTAGAATCTTCCATGAGTGCCACCAGCAACCTGCTTCTGCCCCTTTAACTCTTTCAGATGGGCGTTAGATGAACTTTACAGACCCTAGAGTTAAACTAAATTCCACATAGGCCTTTCGATTAAATACATGAAACACTGTGTATGCTCTATTTTATCTGACTTGGCTGAACTTTATTTTGCATGTCCGATGATGTAAATTTTTTTTTGAAACTATCTGGTATTAGGTACTTTTTGGAAACTACAAAACCTTCTTAATGACCACCCTATCAATTTTCTGTTCTTCTAAGGAAGTTTTTCCTACTCGTGACTCATTGCAGTCTTTGGCTAACACCAAGGAAGCACCATATGCGTTTTCTTCTTCTTCTTCTTTTTAAAATGAAAACCTATATATATTTTTTGTCTTGGGTTATGTAAACTTGGATGGTAGCAGAGTAGTGACCACTGAGAAAGAGTAACCAAGAAAAAAAACCCAAAAAACATCAAACTAGCCTGTTAACCCATACTGTTTTGGAATTGAAAAATCAAAACACTTCCAACATGTCTTCTCTTTCTTTGCAGAAGTGTTTTGTGTGATGGCCCAGAATACAAATCCAGTTGTTTTTTTTTTTTAAAGACACGTTCCAGCTGTCACTTACGCGCGCACACACACACCTTTGCTGAAATTAATGAGATCACTTTAAGATGACGCTTTGTGTTTTATTTTCATTTTATAGGTCTGTATGAGCTGTTGGCGGCTCTGCCTACCCAGCTGCAGCCGCATGTGGATAGTCAGGAAGACTTGACCTTCCTCTGGGATATGTTTGGTGAAAAAAGCCTGCATTCACTGCTAAAGGTAAACCATGGCTGAAGTCAGATTCTCTCTCTCCCCTCCAACCCTCCCTTTTTTTTTTTTTTTGGTTGGGGATGAAAAAAAAAAGCATATGGAAAAATATTTTGAGCGCCATCTAGTAAACCCAAGATCAAATTGTTGCTCTCTGAAAACAAAACAGCCTTGTTCCATTTCACTGACGGGTGTGGAAGTTGTTAAAGATCCTACCAGAAATACCTCGATGATTTCACTTAATGGCAGTGATCTGGCTGTGCATACTAATCCAGCAAACATGTGGTTGCCCCTGTTTAGAAAAAGCATATGAAATAGTAGCAGGAAGGTTTAGACTCCTTTATGGTCCATGTTCATGAGCTGGAATTTAACTTACATAAATAAATGTTCGCAACAACAACAAAAAAAGAAATTAGAAGGCATAGATTTTCTGAGGTCAAGAATGGCAGCAGTTGCAGTAGCCACATTAATTTAAAATAATTTCCTTTAACAAAGTCAACTGAAATTCTAGTAAGCTGTTTCTTTTGTTGGCCTCACTCCATTGAAATGGTATTTTGTAGATAAATACAGTGGAGCTAAATAGGAATAAAAACAGTTCTCAGAGACAGTTCTAGTAAAGTATTATACCATGAAAATGATCAGCACCCAAAACCAGATCTTGCCTTACAGAAACACTGTGAGGGATCAGAACTCTTAAAATAGTAAAATGAGAACTAGGAACTTACTGGAAAATATGCCACTCTTGCTTCTGGAAATAGGAATTGCATTTTCTCTCCTTTAACTAAAGCTGAAAGAAATTTAGAGTCTGACCATAATCTGTCAGAGGTCGAAACCTATGTACAAAATCTGGACCTATGCTTTATTCAGCTAAATTTGTTATGGTTGTCTGTCATGATAAGAGGCTTTAATTGATGTATAGAATTTGAAAATAAGCCACCTCTGAGTTACAGATGCATTACTGGACTGGAGAATGCTATTTGATTCTTGTTGTCCAATTTACTGAAATTTATATGCTTTGAACAGGAATAATTTTGAAAAAGCGAAAGCTAATATGTTAGCATTTCCCTGGCAGTACAATTAAAGACCGGGACTTATTTGTTCATTTATTTATTTTTTTCATAAGAACATAACTGCCAAGGTATCATTATGTTCCAAATAATCTCAGGCTGTTTAAGTTGATTTCTTGGTGTTTGTTAAAGAAATAGTCTTGGAATTACAATGGATGAAGTTTATGACTTGGTGAGGTAATATTTCTATGTTGAATATATGGAAATTGAATAGCTGCTTGTGTTTATTTATTTATTTATTTATTTAATTGGTGGTCCTGGGATCTGAACTTGGAGCCTAGCTCCTGCCAGACCAATGTTGTATCAGCCCTGGCCTTAGCCCACTCTGGACTTATTTATATGGATTCAGTCATTTGATAAAAGGAATAAAAGGTGTTTAAATTGACGTCATCATCCTTCATCCATTAAACATTCTCCAGAGTAAATGGATGAACATCTATTCATATTGATTTTATAGCATGTCTGTAGTTTCCTTACCTACAAAATGGAAGTTAGAATCTATGATATCCAAGTTATGAGTTCTCAGATAATAGTAAAGCTCAAAACTCTTTGATAGCCATAGGCAAATTTAAGTAGGCATTATTATTAAGTATTGAGGGAAATCATACTTATCATAACATACACAGAACCAAAAAAGGAATTATAGAGATGGTTGTTATTTCTGTTACAAGGGCAAAAATTGATGTATTAAACAAATTCTTAGTTACGCTGGCTGTTGAGTCTTAAGCATAGGCTGGTTTCCAAAGTTTTTATCCATAACAGTTGGTTAAGAATCATTCTGAATGTTAATATCTGGTTGCTCCTAAACACTGAAACAAATTAACTGATGTCACCTATGTTTAGATAGCACACTTAACATGTGCTATCCCAAATATATTTTGGGGATAGTAATTACTCTAGAATGTATTTTTTAAATTAGTTTTATTTTGTACTTCCAGTACTTGTCCCAATTTCTTACTACTTTCCCCACCCCAGCTTTGATCAGATGCAGACGTCCAGCATGTCCTCTGCCTGACCCATTCTATTAGCTTTAAATACGTAAAGTCTTGCCTCCAGGAGGCAAGCTCAAGGGATCGCAGCCTGAAAAGCTGGAACAAACTGCTCAGCTGTATTCCAAGTGCCTGTACTTAAGGCTGCAGGATAGAATCCTCCAGCTTTTGTACATAAATCTTGGTAAAGCAAAAGGAATTTGTTTGAGAAGATTTGTTTTAGAGTGAATCGAAATGTGCTTTGGTTTTTATGCTCTTTGGCCTGAAGTTAGAATTGTTAGTATGTGATTTAGAACTGGCTGAATACAAAATTTGATTTTATCCTAGAACAGAATTCTCTTTCTCTCTGTGTCTCTGTGTCTCTGTCTCTGTCTCTGTCTCTCTCTCTTTCTCTTTCTCCCTCTCTCCTATCTATCCTATCTTTCTGTAGAGCCAGCTGTTAAGCTGGGTGTTGGTGGCTCACACCTGTAATCCTAGCTACTCAGTAGGCTGAGACCTGAGGATTGACTTTCAAAGCCAGCCAGGGCAGGAAAGTCCGAGAGACGCATATCTCCAATTAATCAACAAAAAGCCAAAGTGGATTTGTAGCTCCAAAGTGGTAGATGGCTAGCTTTGAGCAAAAAAGCTCAGGGACAGTGCCCAGGTCCTGAATTTAAGCCTCAGAACCAGTGTGTGTATACACAGAGGTGGGGGGGGCAGTTGTAAATCACCACACAGTTTAAAGTACCTATAACCTTGGGGTTTAATATAAAATGTATTTAAGAAGTGGCAGTTTTGACCTGACCATATGTATAAGAGGTAAAGTATGTCACCTCAGGAGATTGACCTTGTCACTAGAAAATTGATGATATTCCATGGTTTAGCTGATGATTCATTTATTTATTTAGTATAGCACCAAGGCTTGTACTTAGGGCCTTGTGTTCTTGCTTGGCTTTTTCACTTAAGGCTTACGGTCTACCACTTGAGCCACACTTCCACTTCCGTATTTTTTGCTGGCTAATAGAAGATAAGAGTCTCACAGACTTTCCTGCTCAGGCTGGCTTTGAACTGAGATCCTCAGATCTCAGCCTTCTGAGTAGTTGGGATGACAGGCATGAGCCACCAGCATCTGGCAGTGTCCAGAGTTTTTTTTATTATTGTTAGTTTATTTTGATTTTTAACATAATTGTGTCATCTGTAAACAAAGGCAACTTTATTTTTCTCAATCTGTATAACTTTTATTTCCTTTTCTGGTCTTTTAGAATTTGTTAGGAATTCTTGTACAATATTGAACAGTAGTGGTGAGAGGGGATACTTTTGTCCTCTTCCTAATAAGGGAAAACAATGGAGTTTCCCACCACTACATATAATGTTAGGTGTAAAACTAAGTACCATTTGTAAGGACATATCTTTTTACTATCAAGTCTTTGTGTGTGTGTGTGTGTTTGTGTGTGTGTGTGTGTGTGTGTGTGTGTGTGTGTCTGTCTATCTGTCTATCTTGGGGCTTGAACTTACGACCTTAGCTCTGTCTCTTAGTTTTTTCATTCAAGGGTAATGCTTTACCACTTCAGCCACAGCTACACTTCTAGCTTTTTGGTAACTAATTGGAGATTAGATGCTTATGGACTAGTTTGAGCCTCATTCCCCAGATCTCAGCCTCCTGAGTAGCTAGGATTACAGGCATGAGCCTCCCCTGCAGGACAAATATCAGTTACTTCTCAGCCATAATCACTTTGAATATTTCTTCCATTCTTTGCTGCTGCTATTTCCATTAATGTATGTGTTACCCTTTTTTAGTTGTCTCACAACTCTTGGATGTTTTGTCTTCCCCTTCTTTTTTCTTTCTGCCTGCATTTCAACTTCAGAAGTTTCCATGAGCCTATCTTCCAGCTTTCCTGGCTGTGTTCATTCTACTGATGATGAGCCTGTTAAAGACACTCTTCTATTCTAGTTGTATCTAATTTGTAGCATTTCCTTTTGATTCTGTATTAGTTTCCATCTTTCTGCTTACATTGCCCATCTGTTCTTGCATGCTGTGCACTTTTTCCATTGGAGTGTTTAGCATATTTATCATACTTACTCTAGATCCTTATCTCCTAATTCTAAAATCTGTCATATTGCAGTCTAATTCTAATGCTTGCCTTTTCTCTTCAAGACTGTTTTCCTTGCTATTATCATGACTCGCACATTTTTGCTGAAAGCTAGACATGATGTATTGGGTAATAGGATTGAGGTAATTATGCTTATAGTGAGAATTTCTTAAGTTACTATGACTTGGAACTGGGTTGTGTTTAAAGCTCACTAAAGCTTAGTGCCAGAATTTCCGTTTTCTTAATGCTCTCTCCTAGCCACTCAACCTGTATTTTGTCTTTGTATTTTCTTAAAAGCCTTTTCTTAGAATTGTGTTTGTAGCTCTGTCAGTTATAATCACTTATATTGCAGGTGATTTGTCCATGGTGGTTGGTGGTTGGAGAAGGAAATTATGCTATAGTCATATTTAAATACCAACTCTTTAGTGATTTGAGTCCCTGGGCTGTGAACTTCGAAAGCACTTTTTGCCCTAAATCCTTCTCTCCTCTCCTCCATTCCCTTCCTTTTCTTCCCTCCCCTTTTCTCCTTTGCTTTCCTTCTTCTCTTCTTTTCCATTCTGTCATGAAAGAATGCTAAAGGAGTTTAGAGTTATCTCATGACTCTTGGGCTTTCTACAGTAGTCCAGTGAAGAAGGCAGACATGTTATACAGAAAACTTGAACAACTGAAATCCTAAGGGATATTTTTTTCACGTTTTTTAATTAAAAAATTTTAATGTATACTTTTAATTGTAAAGATACTGTACAAAGGGGTTTCAGTTACGTGAGTAAGATAATGAGTACGTTTCCTATCGAGCATTGTTACCCCCTTCTTTGTTTTTCCCCTACCAACCCTTACCTCTCCATCTCCCCAACTCCCCCCACCAAGTTGTAAAGTTAATTTTCAAC